ATGCCTATCATTATAATATAATGAAATCACTTTATCGTAATTTTTACACGAATGTAACATAAGATATGTAGAGTTCCATCTATGTATTATATCAATGATAAATAATTTCTCCTGTAAGCCATACTCTGTACATAAATTGTTAGATGCTTGTTTTCTTACTGGTAATACAGTAATAAAATTTATTGCTTATCTAATTTTATCTAAAGGAGAACTTATATGTTTTAATCTGGCTTTTACAATTAAATTGATAATATGATATACACAACGTTAATGAAAAAATAAAGTTCCAAATGTAAGATTAAGATCATTAATAAATCTTTCGATAATATCTTTGTTCACACTAGCATTATCAAAACTAAAACTTCGAATCATATCTTGCATGTCATATTCTTGTATGATATCTTTTAAAACCATATATATGTTAGTAACATTATAAGGATATTTTACACATCTAAATGCAATAATCATTTTATGTAAAGGCTACAGGTGATCAATATAATGAGCCGTAGCAACAATATAACATTTTCTATTACCACCGGTCCATAAATCAGATGTAAATAATATAACACTATTAAAAGGCTTTAGTCTTTCAATAGCAACTTTTGTTTTGTTATATAATTTTATAGTATCTGAACAAAGAGTATTTATACAATAAGAAAAATACCTGAGTTGAAAATATTTCTGTACGAGTCGAGTAAAGTGTACTAAGTTTATCATCGTAAGCGGCATCTCTGCTACAATCACGTATGCAGCAATTCTTTCACGAAATCTTTTTTGTGAATATACAAAGGTGGAAAGAGTAGAACAAGAACCGCTAAACACTAGTTCGGTCTGTTTCGAGTCAAGATCGACTAGTTTCGCTTTGCAACTCCTTAACATGTATCTATTCAAATGTGTTGTGCTCGAACCAGGCTTCCAATTAGTTCTTTGTCATAGTAATTACAACATGCTTTCCAAATATCCACTCCATTTTGAACACCAACTTTTTTACGTGCCAACAATCCGAGAATTCTTTTTTCGACCTTTTAATCTCGAGTACTTCTTCATTTTCAATATTCTCCAAATCAATTGGAACATTTCGAGATGCATTGTCGTAACCGGATAGAGTACTCAAGCTACCCTTAAACTGATTAAACTCATCACTAGTAAAATCCATCTATAACTAGTATAGTATAAAATACATAATATTAGAGTATGAGAGTGAAAGAAATTGATTATGAGATTGAGAGTAAAGAAATTGGAGTTGAAATTTGAATCTATAATACTGCAAGTTAAAATCGATTGAAACAAATTGATTTGAAACTTAAAAATTTACCCCGTATTTATAGCCAAAAAAAAAATTTTACTTCCAAATTTGAAATTTGAATTTGAATTTGAAATATGAGCCTCGTAAATTGAATTGTAAAACACAGTAAAAAATTAAAAAATTAATCTGTTTAATCAACAGTCAACTAGGCTGCTTTAAAGCAGCTATAAAGTTGCCTATAATGGCAGCTATAAAGCTACCTTCCATTTTTAAATTATTATTTATTATTATTATTTTTTGGGTTTGAATTTCGGGCGGGCCTTGTCACGGGCCAAAAATGGCCCGTGACACAAGCCAACTCGTGTGGCTTGTTGAGCCACATCGGGCCGACTCGGGCTCTGGGCAACGCCCTCAAAATGGGCCTCGGCTCGAGCCTAGGCTTGCTCCATCCGAGCCATCGAGCCGATTTGACATCCCTAAAATTATTCCATGAAACGATGCTCCAGGACTTAGAAAATTTAACCATTCTCGTGCACCCTTCTTTAACGTGTGAGAAAATAGGCTCAGTCGAAAAGCATCCGCAAACATTTCTTCGTGGCTAATCATATCGTAGAGCGTCAAGAAAGCCTGAATGTGATCATAAGGATTTTCTGTTGATCTCCCAAAGAACCTGATATTTTGATGACTTTGGAATAAATTAATAATGTCATGTCTAATATGGAAGTTGGTCTGTCCAAAAGGTGGATATATGATAGCTGGTTGCACAGGAGCTGGCACGGGATTTACATAATCCCTCACTAAAGCTTTTCCATGTTTTGCTACTGCCTTCGACTGATCTAATTGAATAGGCTAAGGTAGTGGCAAAAGGTTCTCAACTTGATTTTGATGTTGATTTTCTGTCATAGCTCTTGCTTGTCTTTGCTCTTTTTTCACTGTCTGAAAGTTCTTTCGATTTTGGGATCTATTGGAAGAAGCTCAGTCTCATCAGAATTTTACGTAAATTGTGACTTTTTTGAAAAGGGTAAAACGAGAACCTTAGACCATTTAATAAATTGCCTAAAACAAATAAAATAAAGAGAAAAAAGAAAAAAAAGAACTTCAAATCTAAAATAATAACTGGTAAACTCAAATTAAATAAATTATTCTTCGGTAACAATGCCAAAGACTTGTTCATATGAAACCCTCAAGAGTACGAAATCATTAACAAGTAATAGATTTGAATGAGTTGAAAGTATCGTCCCATGAGAAATAAAATTTAATAGAGTGTACTAGTGTTTAATTAGATTCAAAGTAAACAAAAAAACGAAATTCGTGATTTTTAATTATTCTAATTTAATTTACAAAAATTTGTAAAATGCAAATTTAATATGTATATGGAAAGAGTGTATTGAGTTATGAATCTATCTATTATTATCTATTACAATTCTTGACTACGTAGTTAGTTTCGTTCTTACGTTCTTAACAATTGATAATTTGATTGTAATTCATTTTCTTTTCCAAGACAAATTAAATTTATCTTAATCATAACCCGAATCTATTCCTAATCCGAATTCAAATAAATAGAACGCATTAAATTTCACAATTATCTCAAAAAATGCACACGTGATAAATATTATTTCTAAAATTTATTGTACGCATGTTAACCAAGCAGTATTATAAACCTATTATGAGCATCTCATCACTACACAAGCAACTATATATTCGATTGGTGATCCAACAATCAAATAATAAAATTAAGCATGCAAGATTAATAAAAAATTGTAAGAATTCAACTAACCTACTTTTCTTGAATTAAAAATAAATAATAAATGGTTTCATTTTCATCCAATATATGAGAAGAATTAACCCTGAAGAGTAGTTCGGTGATCAGACCTTGGGTTTGCTCCCCAATGGTCGTCAGTTAAAGTCTCCTCAGAGCTATTGAAGTGAATATCCGACTATAAACTTTAGGATCTCATTGGACTAGTTGAAATTCGCGTAAACCAACCCAAACACCCATGATCATAAAAAAAAATACATGAGAAGAATTAGCTCATCATAATATTGGAATTAAACACATAAAAGTGGAAAGATATCATAAAAAATCAACGGAACGTAATTAATTCCACAATTTTTCTTGACTTGTGCGCGTGTGTATTATTCTTCAACTTTGGCTGGTTATTTTCTTTTCAAATCTGCTACCTTTGTCAATTGTAAAATCCAATTCCAACAACAACATGCTGCCTTTTCTTCTTTTTCTCAATTTCTGTATATGTGGCGTGTATAATATATTTTCAACCTCAACCACCAACTTGTGTTCTTCAATTTCTGGGCTTCTCTGCTGCAGCCCCGTTTTCTTTTTATTCTTTCCCAGGCAGCCTTTTTTTTTTTTTTTTTTCAATGTGTGTGTCTACATATTAATTTAATTCCTCTCCAACGACCGCTGTTTTTTTCCCTCCAAAGCAGCTACCCAATTGTGTAGGCTTTTGCCAAACGAACACTGTCCATTAGGGGGGCGCCACATAGGGCCCTGGACATCCAGGGCACTGTCCCCCAAGAATAGTTCGTTTTCATATCGCTACAGCAGCTGCATTGTTTGTGTAATTTCACCCCTCCTTGGCTTCCCTTTTTTATGTATATCAGTTCCCAAAAATTGAACTCTAATTCTCCCCCTTCCCTCTGCCGGTATATGAATATATCTATATAAAAATAAACCTCGAGCAGCCGCCTTTTCTATGGTTTAGTCTCCAATATGAAGTGAAATTCCAATTGTTCTTTTCTTTCTAGCCGGCAGTAGTAATGTTTTGGTGTTAAAGTAACTAATTAAAGAATTATTTTCCAATTCCAAGTTCAATGAATGCTCAATTAATAATTTATTTTTCTCCAAATCCTCAACCTCCATCCAGTGGCCAATTTAATCCCCGTACTTTGAATTTTGCCACTTTTCGCCAATTTTTCCTTCTTTCATTGACTCCTTTTTATTCATAAAATTTTGATTATTAAAAATTTAAGATGTCTTTTGTCAAAAGAATTATCAAATATCGCAATTTTATGCATCAAATAAGTGTATAAAATACATTTATCGATTTGACGTATCAAGATCTTATAATTAAAAAAGTTGAAAGTTCATAATTTAGAATTTATTTAAGAATTAACCATTGAATTTAGGTAAAAATTCGAATTCTTTATTCTTGGTATAATATATACGTGAACATCTAGACGATTTTGTTTATTGAATTAAAGAAAATTTAACTTCTGAATAATTTCGCTTCCGCATTACAACAATTAAACTTTATAAGTTATCTCAATAAACTTAATGAATTTTAATTTAGACTCCTTTTGGCCCCCATTTTTTGAAGTGAAAATGGGTGAACTAGTTTTTTTTTTAAAAATGAGTGATGGAAAAAGAAAGAATTTTTTTCATTTACGTCTAATATTATTTTATAAAAAATTGTGGGATTAAAAGTAGGATAAGAAAAAATGAAATAAAATTTAATAGGAGCCAAACGGACTTAATTTCAAATGTAACGTTCCGGTCATCTAATTTCTTAATATAACAGATTATATTTCCTTATTACTCAATAAGTTGGTGGGTAAAGGGGATCTCTCAACCAACCGTGTATCATTCTTGACGGACTATCTTCCCCCCCTCTCCCATCTTGTCTTTTTATAGAGAAGAGGTTGAAATTTTCTCAGGAATCGTGACCGCAACTCCCTCACCCACCCATCAATGGTTTGGATTTGATCCTCAAAAAACAATTCTTGGGTTAGATTTCACTCATGTGGCTGTGACCAGTGTTTTTTTTTTTTGGAAACTGCGTTACGCATACAGGACTGAATCTTCAACTGAAACAAACACAGCCCACTTTCCCACTCCATGATTTTTGACAACTAATCCCATATTCGAGATTGTAATGTGCTTAAAATGGAATGTTATTAATACCTATTTGGTATCTTTTTCTCTTATTGCAAACATCTTTTGCATTTAGGTATGAAGTGTGTGTGTGTGTGGGTCTATGCGAAATTGTAAATATTAAGTTATTGATGGTGTTATTCTCAGATTGCATTCATTGGCATTTTAGCTTAAGAGGTTTTATTTGTTTGCTTGTCCATTCTCTGAGATACTCTTCTGGGATTGAAGGAAATCAGAGGTAAGTTTCTAGTTTTTTATTTATGGTTTTCTGCCCTCCTCACACTTATTGAATGAACTTTTTCTATGGAATATCTCTTTATGAAAATTTGCCTTCGAAATGAATGATTTGCTGTTTCTTGTTCCTGTTTTCTTAGATGAATGGTGGGAACATAAATCCATATGTATTGGTAAATCTGTTGAAGAAAAAATCATTGTATCAAAAATGGCTTCTTCGACATCTCTAGCATGGAAGTGGTTCCAGGTGTTGGAATTGTTAACTATCTTTCTCTCCTAAAATTTTAGTGGTTTAAGCATTAATAATTATGAAAGAATATGCGTATAACAATTATAGGAGAGAAAGATTGTTACATCATCTGCTCATTGTCGAGGTAGCTTCAAAGCAAAGGCTATTAAAATCAGTTTTTGCTAGAATTAATGTATAGACACCCGGGAAGGGGTTGAGGTCAGGCCATTGTTAATTCATAGCAAATCAAAAGTGAAAGAAGCATGTTTACTTACTCCCCTCCCTTCTCGTTGCTAGGATCCCCGACCTCTTTTGCCATTTCTTTAACCTTTTTGTTACTAATCTATATCTTGTGATTGGTTTCATCATTTTATCTTCTTTTCATATTCTATTTTTGACATTTTGTTTTTAACTTATGAAGTCCTATGAGCTTATTTACTCGTTTAATGTTTTTCAGATTTCCATTTTCTTTTCACTAGCTTTTTTCAAGATCCATATAATCCTACCTCCTTATGTTTCGGGGTAACCTGGTTTGATAAATGATAATATATTGAGGAAAAGAGCTAAGCTTTCTTTTAGATGCCATTAATTGCAATGTTGGATGAGACTTGCTTATACACGTGTGACAAGAAAAGATTATACTCTCTAATATGTTGAGTTCCCCGATGTATTTCTTTATTGTCTATAGAGGGGTCTTCTCATCCTCTTGCATTGTCCCGTGTATATATTTAAACCAGTGACTAATATGTTCACAATCGTAAAGTCTGTAATAGTATTATAATAGTCGGCTCAGCTTCAGAATGCTTGTAAAGATTAAAACTTGCTCTCCAATATGTACATTTAAATTCTTTTTCATTGATTACATGTATTGCATGCTAGATGAATCTTGATATGCTGTTTGGCTGCTCTGGCATTGCCTGATGATGAATCTAATACGTTATGTTTAGTATCTTTGATAATAAGGTAGACAGTTTAGCTTTTCCTACACTAATTCTGTATGTCATTACATTTTAGTGACCTTCAGGATTCACCTCCATACACCATAAATAAGTAGGTGCTTGGTGAGAATATACCTGATGTTCTTATGAATTTGTGTATTTACTATGATAAAATCTAGACAAAAGCACAATTATTAAATACTAATTCGAACTGCCTCTCTGAATTATTAAAATTGATGGCCAGTCTTTGATGTCTTTTCCATTGATCGAACTGCCTTCCTTTTTGCATTTTTTTCGTGAACTCTATTAAAATTGATTGCTTGTCTTTTCTATTGATCGAACTGCCTTCCATTTTGCATTTTTTCCATGCACTCTATTAAAATGGATTGCCTGTCTTGATGTGTTTTCTATTGATTGAGTGATACTTGTTTCACTTTATCTTGGCAATGGGTTCATATCTAGTTTTTACGTTAATCTTGCATGTTTGTTATATAATTGCAAAGAACATGTGGCGTGGACTCAAATATTCAGTTTTTGGCCCCTTTCTTAATTTTCATGACATGTTTTATTTTCGGCCACAAATATTAAGATCTTGGATATTACACTATATCTCCTCTATTCGATTCTGTATTAAAAATATTAGGATTCTGAGGATAATCCTACTTTCTCCACTTAGGGTCGATTTTTGTTCCCTCTTTGCTGTTTACCTCTCTGACAATTAGTTAAAGGGTCCTCCTCAAAACAAGTCGATGTCTGATTATGATAAGTAGTTTTCGAAGTTTTATCAGGGCAGTGCTGACCCTCAGTTGTATTTGGATCTGCCCCAAGAAGGTAATTCTCCACTGTCTTACTTTCTTACAATAAAATTTTGCAGATGGGTGATGTAGCTAAAGATCTAACTGCTGGGACTGTTGGAGGAGCAGCACAGTTGATATGTGGGCACCCTTTTGATACCATCAAGGTCAAACTCCAAAGCCAGCCTGTTCCACTTCCCGGCCAGCCTCCCAAATACTCAGGTGCTATTGATGCTGTGAAACAAACAATAGCTGCAGAAGGCCCGAGGGGTTTGTACAAGGGCATGGGGGCCCCACTTGCCACTGTGGCAGCCTTCAATGCAGTGCTCTTTACAGTGCGGGGTCAAATGGAGGCCTTACTTAGGTCTGAACCCGGTGCCCCTCTTACAGTGAATCAGCAGGTCATTTGCGGTGCTGGAGCTGGGGTTGCTGTGTCTTTTCTGGCCTGTCCTACCGAACTGGTAAAATGCAGGTCAGTTTTGGCCGAATTCTTTGTCTAGAGCATAATGAGATTAAGATAATTTCTAAATTTACTATTCTTTACATAGTGCATTACATGAGATGCTTTTCCCAATTGAAAAAGGGGACATTGCACTAGGTTCAAAATCGTGTAGGCGCCAATATGTTGCTCACATTGTGACGTATTTTGCTCTATTTTCTTATGCGTATGGATATATTCGAATTTTTTAGATATTTTAGTATTGACCTCTTTAAATTTTAAAGTATTGTATGAATGCAGATTGCAAGCCCAGAGTGCATTGGCAACTACTGATTCAGCCGCCGTTGCTGTTAAGTACGGTGGACCGATGGACGTGGCAAGGCACGTTCTTCAAACGGGAGGTGCACGAGGATTGTTCAAGGGATTGGTTCCCACTTTGGCACGCGAAGTACCTGGAAATGCTGCTATGTTCGGCGTCTATGAAGCCCTTAAAAACTATTTTGCTGGAGGACGGGACACTTCTGAATTGGGACGAGGTTCACTAATGCTAGCCGGAGGATTGGGTGGAGCTGCGTTCTGGTTGTCTGTTTACCCGACTGATGTGATCAAGAGTGTAATTCAGGTTGACGATTACAAGAATCCTAAGTTCTCAGGTTCTATTGATGCATTTAAGAAGATCTTGGCATCATCAGGAGTGAAAGGTCTTTACAAGGGTTTCGGTCCTGCAATGGCCCGAAGCGTTCCAGCAAATGCAGCATGCTTCTTGGCGTACGAAGTAACGAGGTCTAGTCTAGGATGATTATTGATTTGTACATTTAGCTGAAGATTGTATTTGAAAATGAAGAGTCTCTCGGATTCTAATCCTCTAAAAGAAATGACATTATCTTGGAATTATTTCAGATTTCTTACTGTGAGATTAACAAAAGTGCATTGTGTTGTTGCTATGTGCTAATCAAGATTATGGCACGAGCTGTGTGACAATTCAAATGGAGCAGAGGTTGTGAAAATGTGTCGAACAAGCCCTTAAAAATAGGCTACGCGCGGGCTTCAGCCATGGTGGGCCATACAGGGCCTCCACTTCCAGGCCTGCCAGGTGCCATATTTTATTTTTAAAAAATGTAGAGAGTAATTGACCAGACAGGGGGGAAATACGTGAAATTGATCCATTTAAGAAGGCCATTTTTCCAAAATGGCCTTTGACCATTCAAAGGCTAAAATCTACCTAAAATACCCCCAACATAAAATTTATAAACAAGTCATCTTAATTTTAAGAGAGTTCAATTAAGCTCTCAAATTATCATCTTTAATTTTTTCGCCTCGTAAAAAATTGGTATCAGAGCCTAGTAACGAAACTGAAGAATATATTATTTAAAATGAATAGAAAAGATAAAATGATTTTAGAAGAATTACAAAATATTGGTATATTAACTAATCCTAATCGTATTAAATTGCAAGAATTAGCAACAAATTTAAGTACCGAATATAAATCTCTAAGTGAAGAAATAAAACAAATTAATAATTCTCAACAATTAGTTGAAACAAAAAATAAAGTATTACAAATCCTGGTAGATGAATCTTTCAAATATAAAGAGGAAGATATTATTATAAATCAATTTTTAAAACAATATGATAATTATGCTAAGCTTTAGGAAAACCAGACATTATAAATCAAGATGTTATAACTAGGATAAAAAATATGGAATCAAATTTAGAAATTGTTAATAACAATATTAAGATAGGACCAAAAATCCTATATAAACAAATTGAATCAAAATTTAAAAAATTAAAAAATAAACAAGATTCTTATGTCTCTATTGAACCACCCTTACCAGCATATGTTATAGAAGAATTAGAAACAAAATTCTTTGAAACTACTGGAGAAGAATTAGAAACTTATAAAAAAAGCTTAAACAATTAGCTATGCAAACTTAAAATATATATATGAATGATCCTCCACCTAAAGAAGAAACTATTGAAATTAATACTCCACATTTAAATCAACAAGTTGAAAACAAGTCGTTAATTGGAGAAACTAGTAGAACTAATATTAATACAGATTAGACTTAAGTTGAATCTGATGACTGAAATTTTGAATGGATAAAAGAACAAGAAGGCTACAATTTCATAAAGGAACCAAAAACTATATCAACCAAACATATACATCTTAGAGATAATAATCCAGTAAAATTATTTACTGAACAAATTCCTACTACAGGAATATGGTTAGATATTGATGATAGCAATAATAAAAGTGAAATTATTAACTCTTAGGCAAAAGCTATTGATTTAGCTGTTGCTTTTTATAAATGGAATACCACTCAAGCGTATAACTTTATAATCCACACCTTTAGAGGAATTACTTCAGATATCTGGAGAAGAACTTCTAAAGAAACTAAAAATAAAATTAAATATGGCAAAAAATCTACAACTATCATAGATAGCAATGAAAGTTTAGATGCTGAAAATTTTTAAGAAGTGTTAAAACGAATTGAAATTTTTTTTAGACACCTATTATTAGGAGAAGTTATACTAGAAACTAAAATTGATATAATTACTCAAGAAACTTTACAAGCTGAAAGAGAAATGGAACTATTAAAAATTTGTGATATGTGTGAATTAAATGCATATACTAAGAAATTTGAAAAGATATATATCAAAGTATCTAAATCTATAAAAGAATGGAATCTATCAGAAGAAGATAAAAAATTATTAAATAGATATTTTCTTAAATTACCATGGTCATGGGGTCAGAAGTTATTTGAAGATTACCAAATCTATTGGAGTAAAATAGAATGGGAAGACCCTAACCACAAAGCTGATACTTTAGGAATGAGAATTTCATTCGCTAATAGAAAAATCGCCGAATGGTGCAAAAAATCTTTGTACCAACACCTATTTAGAAAACATGGTAAAAAAGCTAGTTTATGTTGTTATGGAGAAATAACATCTGTACCACAATTTGGTTGTCACCAACCATATAAAAAATCATATTATAAAAAGAAATTTAAGAAATATTTAAAAGGATAAGAACCGCAAAAGATATTTTAAGAAGAAAAAACATTGGAATAAGGAATATAACCAATATAAGAAGCCTCAGAAGAAATTTAAGGAATAATTTTATTAAAAATGTAAATGTTTTACCTTTAATGAATTAGGACATATCTCTCCCAACTGTCCTAATAAAAATAAAAGAGAAAATGTTAAATCTATTAAATTAATGGAAGAAATTGAATACGATTCAGAATTTGAGATAATTGAAGATTTAGACAAATTATCTGAAACAGACTCAATTTATGAGCTTGATATTAAAGAAATTGAGGAACCTGAATATGAACAGATATATATGAATCAGAAAATTGTTGATACTGTTGAAACTACCTTAGATAGTGAAGAATGAACTTCACAAACTGTTATGTTTGATGAAGAAAGATATGGAGCTATAAAAGAAAAGCAGATATCTTTAAGAGATAAAAATGTTTTTATTAGACCCATACTACCTTGGTTTAACAAAACTATATACATTGTCAAATATGACGAAGTACCTATTAACATAGAAAATGTTAAGGGCAATACTACTATACCTTTAATTACAAGAGAATGGGTTAATAGAGAATTGACAAATATTAAAAGATCTACTAAAGAAAGATTAAAGAATATAGTGATTGGAGGAATCCAAATCATGATTAAAGGATACTTTAGAGAGGGAATGGATATTCCTATACAAATATATTTAACGGATAACAGGATACTTCATGATCCTATGGACGCTCTGTTAGGAGTTATCTCTGGAAATCGTGTATAAGACCTGGATTTGCCATGTCTATATTAGATGAAAACTTAAGTTTAGGAATAAATCTATATCAGAAAATTGATAGATTAAGTATGCCACCAAGAAGTAAAGCTGTAACTTTACATTGTAAAGCTTTGTATGCTTTTACTACTACACAACAAAAAGAAATCAATAAAATTTCAGGAGAATTCATAGAAATTCATGAAGACTTTAAAAACCTAGCACAATTTACATCAACAAGAATGATAAGTAATTGTAACATTTCGTTACCACAAGAGATATTATTTGATTTTCATCAACGATCTAGAAGAATAGACAGTAATGTAGGTAATCAAGGATTAGCAACTTTGAATACTTTTGGACAATTTGTAGTTAGAATGCCTAGTAGAAGAATAGAAAGAAGTATCAGTACTAGAGAACTCTCAAGCTATAGTAGACCATCTACAAGTAGAAATTACACAACTATAACAAGAAATAGTATTGATATTGATTTAAGAAAAAGTGAGGAAGATAATTTCCTTATATTAACAGAATTTTTCAATAATCAAAATAACTACGAAGAAATTATAGCCGTTGTTAATACAGGAGCTTGTACTAGCCATATAAGAGCAGACTTAGTCGATCATTTAGTAGAAGAAAATCTGTCGCAAGGAATAACTCTTACAGATTATCATGAAATTAAATATGAAATTAAAACATTTGTTAATCTTGAACTAAGTTTTACTCACATAGAAGGAGAACAATTTAAGCTAAACTTTAAAATTCATAAAGATTATAGAAAAGGAAAAGATACTAGCCCAATATTACTTGGAATGAACTTTCTTGAAAAGGTATCACCATTTGTTATTCAGAAAAACATACTGCAAATAATTGTTGAAGGTAAACAAAAAATGTTGCCTAGGGTTAATAAAAACAAAAAATTAATTTATATGATACAATGAATTAGATCAATCAAAACTAATATTTTGAACCCATATATTGAGATAACTCTCAATTTACCAGACTACTGTATGATAAGATTTCATGCAATACTTGATACTGGATCAGAAATTTGCCTATGTAAAAGAAATGTGTTTCCAGAACACTATTATAAAAGAAATTATAAGAAAACAACTTACGGTCAAACAACTAGTGATATTGTTGAAATATATAGAGATTTTGTGGAAAATGTTCCTATTACTATTGGAAATAGAGAATATTTTATTCCACGAATATTCGCTACAGATAAAATTGGATGTGATATTCTCTTAGGAGAAAATTTTATCTATACATGTAGCCCTTTTACGCAAAATAAAGAAAGTTTTGAACTTACTACACCTTGTAATCACAAAATTAAAACATCCAAAATTTAAAAAGCAATTGGAATTGCACATCATTCGATTAACCATAAACCTAGACATCAGAGTTCTACTGGTAATCGTGGTGAATGTTATACAGAAATCAATCAAAAACAAAAAATTCATGTATTAAGAATTAACAAGTTAGACGAAGAATTAGAAAATATTAAAATTGAACTAAAAGAATGTTATCGTGAACATCCTTTAGCGAAATGGGACAAAGATAAACATATGGCAACCATTGAATTAAAAAATCCAGATGTTAAGATATCAGAAAAACAATTCCCGTATAGCGAAGAAGATAAAAAGGAATTTGAAATACAAATTAAAGAATTTTTAGGATTAGGAGTTATAAGAGAATCATCTAGTCCATATAATAGTCCTACATTTATGTTCAAAAATCATAGTGAAATTAAAAGAGGAAAAGCTAGAATGGTAATTGACTATAGAGACCTAAATTCTAAAACTATACCTAATAGCTATAAATTACCAATAAAAGATTTGTTAATAAAACAAATACAAGGAAATAAATTATATTCTAAATTTGATTGTAAATCTGGATATTGGCAAATAAAACTAGACGAAGCATCAAAACCTTTAACTAGTTTTACTACTCCTAATCCATTAGGACAATTTGAGTGGAATGTTATGTCATTTGGATTAATGAATGTCCCAACAATATTTCAACAAAGAATGGATAAGATTATTAGACCAAATTTTTTTTCTTGTATTGCTTATGTAGATGATATCCTTACTCATAGTAAAAATTTAAAAGA